CCACTACTACAATATACCAACGAGCGCAGGCAATTGCCAACGGCGGAAGAGCAAAGGAATCTAATTCGCGGGCCCCCTGCGGGCCCTCGCCGTGTTAGCCTTCGAGACAAGATGCTGGGATGATGATGATGATGAAATGGAGGAAGAATGTGAAGCATGCGAAATACATGCTAGGTGGAGCTTCGCGGATTAAGCCTGCCCCCCCGGGCATTCTGCCTGCCTCAAGACGGCTGATTCCGTACAACCCTCCCGAAGACACATGAACATACAATTGGAACGTCTCCCAACGCAAAGCCCACGCTCGTGATAGCTCCTGGGACACGTAAAAACAGGAGTGAGATGCGCCCTCAAGGCTGCGCAAACTTCGAAACGTGCTCCCAACACAAGGCCCACGTGCGTGACAGCTCCTGGGACACGTAAAACAGGAGTGAGATACGCCCTCAGGGTTGCGCAAACCCCCCTCTGGCACACCTCTCACAGATTCCCTTTCCGACATTATTATTTTGCGACGCGTGCAAATACGAGTGCTCAGATCCCTGCATGGCTACGCAACTGTTATTTCGGCACGCTCTCACGCACTTCTTGCTCCACGACTATGAAAATAAACGTGATCTGCGCTCCGAGGGCCACGAAGGGCTCAATTCTAGACACCACTTACGCATTTCCCGTCCCAAGTTATATTGAAACGCGTGAGAATACGAGTGATCAGCGCTATCAGGCTCCTGGGACACATAAGACTAGAACCATCGCGCGCGCTTCGCGCGCGCTCAAGCTCTTGCGAGCTTCTTGGGGCCTCCTCGGAGCATCCTGGACTGCTTCTTGAAGTCGTCATGGAACCTTCTTGGCATGTCTTCGGGGGCCTCTTAGAAAGAGTTTTGAAGCCTTTTGGGTGCCGTCTTGGGGCCTCTTTTGGCTCCTTGGGGGCCTCTTGGGGCCTCTTGGGGGCCTCTTGGGGGCTTCCTGGGGGCATCTTGGGGCCTCTGCTGCATCTCGGGGCGGAGAGCTTCATTTTCGGTTCGCGTTCCCTCTCTTGGGCCCCTTTTGGGGCCTTCTTGGGACCCTCTTGCGCAGTATTGGGCGGCTCTGGGGCCATCTCGGGGCTCTCTCGGGCCGTCTTGGGGCTCTCTTGGGGGCCTTTTGGGCCGTCTTGGAGCGGTTTTGGGAGCCTCTTGGGCGGTGCTTTAGCGCCAGAAGCACGAAACAGCGAGAATGCAAACCCACGTTGAAAAAACAATCAGCATCAACGATTTTGCCCGCTCGGGGCGCTCTTGGGCGGCATCTCAAAGGCCTCTCGGGGCGTCTTGGGGGCCTCCAGGGCAGTTTGAAACGCATCGTGCGTCGCCAGAGACCCCTGGACGGCGTCTTGGGGGTGTCTCGAGACCGTCTGGGGCCGCCGGGATTGCTGTCCGAGAGCTCCCAGGGGCGATTGTAGGCCTCCCAGAGGTGGACCCGGGCCCTGGGCTCCACATTTGCGGTCGAGGCTCTGGCCCCCAGCCCCCGGACCCGGTCCCCCGTTCTGTATTTATTTATTCATTATATATATATATATATATATATATATATATATAAACAAACAGCCGATGTGGGCCTCGGGGCTCCTTGGGGACGTCGACGTACGAGCGAATCGCCCTTTCATTTTCATGGGAACCGTCGAACTTCAATCCAACACACCCCTTGAGCACTTCGTGCCCCTATGGAAGCCAGAGGGCCTTCAGCTGGCCTCCATGGCCGCGGGATTCCCGAAGGGCCGCAACTATGCACAACACATTGCAACGATTGGTACAGACCCTCGCTGACTCTTCTCCTCAAACCTTCTCCACCTCCTCCCCTTTGGCCTTACCTCGTAAGTGCAAACAGACTTTGACTGACCACCAAAAGGCTAAACAATAGGACGCCGGTCTGAATTAGACATGCAAAGGTGAAGTGTACAAGCACAAAGGGATAATGGATCACGAGCAGTTGCTGAAGTGAGGCGCCTCAATTCGGCACACCGCTCATGCTCTTCGCGAATGTTGGGTGCTCAGCTGGCCCCCGAAACGGTTCTTTGGAGCCTCAATTCGGCACACCATCGTGTCCCATGGACCTCAACAAGTCCTCAGCTCGGGGATGGACAGAACCTCCTTTCGAAAATCGTGGTTTAATAAACGACCTCGGGCCCAAACCTGGCGTGCGAAAGCCTGGAAAATTACGGCCACGGTGCCCTCTGGAAAACCGAAAAAGGACAATCCACTCATCGACGTGTCAGGGTTGGGGTTCTGTCCACTCCCGATCAGCTGGTCTCCACGTTCGCCTGGTCCCCCAAGGGGTGCAAATACGCCCCAAAGAGAAATTGCAACGGTTGGTGCAAACCCTTGTCGAGACAGAGTCTCTTACACCCACTGGTTGCTACGTCTGCGTGCAAACTTCCCCCTGGGGGGTGGCGCCGTAACTCCCGCTCTACAGACTCAATGATGAGTCGGATCTATGAGAATATGTCATGTAGTACGTATTTTCGGGGTCGTAGTTATACCCTCTCAAACGACGGCGTCTATGCACCAAGTTGCGGGCGAACCCGCTCAGACACTCGCACCTCTGCCAAAACCAAGTATATCACCATCCCCTCACTCCCTCCCTTCCTCCCTTCCTCCCTCTCTCCTCTCCTCTTGCTCCTCCTCTCCCGCCTCCCCTGAAACAATCAGAAAGCCGTTGGCCACTTGCGGGGATGTCCTGCCACTTCATCCTCCTCGTCCTCCTCCGCCTCCTCCTCCTCGTCCCTCCCTTCCTTCCTCCCTCCCTCCCTCGCTCTTTCTCTCCCTCCCTCTCTCCCTTCCTCCTCTTCCCTCTTCCCTCTCTTCCTTCCTCCCTCCCTCCCTCCCTCTCTCCCTCCCTCCCTCCCTCTCTCCATCCCTCCCTCCCCGGTTGCACCTGCCCCGCCCAACTGCGCTCTCAAAACTGGTCCTGGGACCTCTCCGGGGGCTCGCTCTGACCAGGGCTACACATATCGAATCCCGCCGTGGCGACGAGCTCCCCCCCCCCCAGGGAGGCCCCCCCCAAAGAGGAGGATCCCAAGGGTACCCATCGCACATCCCTGCCAGACGTATCTAAAAAATAAGCAGATGCGTTTAGGTGGGGTCGCGCCCTGGTGCAGGCGAGAAGCCAACCGTATCTAGTTTTCTGCAACGGCGACGATACAGATATTAGTTTTAGGTGCGCGCCCCCGGCCTGCGCGGGAGCGCCGCCGAATCTAAACGTATCGATTTTCAAGCATATCTGAAACATTGGGCCCGCATCTACTTTTCTTTGAGAAAGCATATCGATCCGTAACTATTGTTCAAAAAAGACAGTGCCGCGCCGTATCTATTCGTATCTAATTTTGTCAGAACGGACGCTGCTGGCTGTGCCTTTGGAGCGAACACGATCCATGATATTGGTCGAAGCAATGAGCAGTGGGATGGGGATAGTGGGAAGCCGTAGCGATGAGGAGTGCGGAAACGGGCGACGACGACAAACACGACGAGGAGTAGGATGGATAACAACGACGAAACGAGATTTAGGAGAGAACTGGGTAGAAACAGGGAACCGTAGGAGGGGGAGAGCAAAGAGGAGGAGGAGGAGGTGGAGGACCAGGACGAGGACGAGGAAAATGCGTCACATCGAAAGTGAAGGGGTGGTGCGGGGCGCGGGCGAGGAGTTTTGAGGAGGACTGGCGGGGAGGTTGACGACGACGACGACGCGTTGAGGCAGGAGGAGAGGGGCCCAGGAGACGGACAAAGGAAGGACGAAGGAGAGGAATTACGACGCGGAGGACGAGGACAATGAGTAAGAAGCTCCTGACTGGCATGTGCATTGTCTTTCCTGTTCGTGGTCATTGAGTGGCCTAGGCCTGGGAGTGGAGACATGGCGCCGTAGCTATTCGTATCTGTTTTTGGTAAACATGTTTTCCAGCGCTGGGCACCACATTGAAAACGTATCTAAACATATCCAAACGTATCTATTCGTATATAAGAATGGCCCGGTATCTAAACATAGGAAGCACACGTACCTCTCGCATCTGAAACCTAAGAAATTGTACATATCTAAACGTACCTATTTTTGAAACATGTAAATTCGCATCTAATTTTCTTAAGAACAACGCTGTAAAACACATATGGTTCAGGGAGGGATTTTAGATACCGCGCGGCCCTGCCGAATGCAGCTGCCGCTGGGGAAACGAGCAACCAAACTAGATTTTTAGATGTGTCTTCCAATGTATGAAGGGGCCCTGGGGCACACAAATGAATAGACACAAATAAAAGGATTCCCTATATTTTCTAATATTTTCTCGGTTTCTGTCTTCCCCCCCCACTTCCCATATTGTCCAATATTTTCATTGGAATCGACGATTAATTGTGTCTGTGTGTTTCTTTCCCTCCTTAATGTAGGCGAGTCTCCCGAGACTGATGTTGAAACCGACGGGCCCCCCCCCGATGGCGTGAGGGACGCAGCCCCTCCCCCCCCAAACAATCGGCCGAAGGTCGGACGATCCCTCTCCCGGGGTTCCCATCCCCCCTCGCCCCTCCCCCCTTCCCTATCCTATCCTATCCTTCCCTCCTCCTCCTCCTCCTCCTATTCCTCATCCTGTGCCTTCACCCTTTTTCCCTCCTCCTCCTCCTCTTCCTCCTCCTCTTTCTCCTCCTCCTCCTCCTCCTCGTCCTCCTCCTCCTCCCTGAAGCTCCTCCTCCTCCTCCTCGCCCTCCCTCCCCATGCTAATTACCAACACCCTCCTTCTCCCCCTCCTCGTCCTCGGCGTCGTCCCCGTCTGGCCTCGGTCCTCGTCTCCGCCCCCGTCGCCGTCGCCCCACCACCCTCGACCCTTCAATCCGCGGGCCCCGAATGTCTCCACCCCATCGCCACCGGCGTCGGCGTCGTCGCCGTTGCCCTCGTCGTCGGCCCCGGCCCTCCCGTCGTTGCCGTTGACACCGTCGTCGCCCTCGCCGCCGCCGCCGCCCTCGCCGGCCGCCGATCCGCCCGCGGCGGGCGACAGCGGGCAGCGCCACTCCGGCGGCGGCGGGGCCCGCGGCTGCCTGCCCCACCCCCCCCGCTGGGCTCTCGTCTCCGTCGGGAAGGGCCGCGACCGGGCCGGGCCGCGGCCGCCGCGGCCGCGGCCGCACCCGAGGGGAGCGAGGGGAGTGAGGGGAGGGAGGGGGGGGGGGAGGGAAGGGGGGAGGAACGAGGGAGGGGAGGGGCGGGGAGGGAAGCTCGGAGGGGCGAGGCGCGGAGGAGGGAGGACGAGGCGCGAGGGGCATACAAGGCTGCCCGGGAGGCCGCCAGCACGAGCGGCGGCGGGACGGAGAGGCACCGGCTGTTTGACGGCCCCGAGGCCTGGTGAGGGCACCCAGAGGCCGAAAAGAGCGAAAGACCTCCCGTCGTGAGGGGGGGTCCCACGGGGGAGTCCTTTTCCTCCCCCTCCTCCTCCTCCTCCTCCTCCTCTCCTCCTCCTCCTCCTCCTCCTCCTCCTCCTCCTCTCCGCCTCCTCCTCCTCCTCCTGCTCCTCCTCCTCCTCCTCCGCCTCCGCCCTCCTCCTCCTCCTCCTCCTCCTCTCCGCCTCCTCCGCCTCCTCCTCCTCCGCCTCCTCCGCCTCCTCCTCCTCCTCCTCCTCCTCCTCCTCCTCCTCCTCCTCCTCCTCCTCCTCCTCCTCCTCCCCCTTCTGGTCGTCTCTCTCAGCGCGAGGGGGCCCAGGCCCTCTGAGCCCCTCGCAGCCACGCCTCCGCCCCCGTGCTCTTTGGATCGTGGCGCGGCTGCCGGGGCGGGGGCGGCCGCTCTGCCCCTGGCGGGCGTCGGACACCTCCAGATGTGCGGGGCGGGGGCGTGACCACGGCCACTGCTTCTTGCTTGCGCCGCCTTCCAGCCGGCCGAAAAAGAAGCAGTGGTTGTGGTCATCTCAATGGTGCCGAGCTCAACGAAAATGACCACAGCCACCGCTCTTTTTCTTTTTCTGCGGGCTGGAAGTTGGCAACAAAAAAAAAAGCAGTGGCTGTGGTCGTTTTCACGCCCCGTAATATGCCACCAGGCCCAGTGGCGCGGCCAGGGTCCCGCCATCGCTCGGGCGTCCACGCCCCGCGCGCTCTTCGGTTCCGTGCGCGTGTGTTTTTGTTTGTTCGCAGGGCGGCCCAGGCTGCCCCTCGAGGGCCCTCGCCGAGAAACTCGTGTGGTCCAAGATCCGGATGCCGGCACTCGAATTTGATTCGCCCGCGAGCTTGCTCGCCTCTTCCGCGCTCCAGCGCCCATCCTGCTAGGCACTACGCCGCCCTGGCCGCCGGCTTCCTCAAAACATCGGCCGAGCCCAGCACGTGTGAATTGTTGGGGCCAGCGGAGGGGGCTCTGACTCATCAAAGCCTCTCGGGACCGCGTGGGCTTGGAAGCGGGTGCCTGGCTCCCAGCGTGGGCACTAGTCTAGGCATACATTGTGTGCTGAACAACGTACGACCAGCCTGAATTGCCGTTTGCTGCCGTGCCCCTCGATATCTTGGAGGGGAGATGAATGGTTCAGGAGAGACCCTGCGGGGCAGGATCCTGCTGGTCGCGCTGCCAGCAGAGCCGCCTGCTAGAACTGGGGCGGCTCTCGGTTTCCCCGCGCTGGTCGCCAGCTTTTTACGCCTCGCGTTGCTTCTTCGTCTTCCCTCTCTTCCCCTGCCTTCTAGCGGTGCAGCGCAGGATTGTAGCCGACCTGCAACGCCTCCGCCAACTGGCAGGTCTGCCTGTGGCGATGTATGGTTCGTGTCGGCGGCACTCCAGCGCCCGCTCGGCTTGCGCCCATCTTGAGTCGGCCGCCGGAAGCGAGCGACGCTCATGTCGATCAGCCGGCGTCGGCTGGCATCACGTATAGACTGCGCCGCATAGCTTGCACCACATCGCTTCATCGCCCCGCAAACGTTTGCACTCGAGGTCGTGGGTGTTGCCCCCACAATCGGCATGGATGCTTAGCGGCCTGGTGCGGCCACCGCCTTTTGTGCACATTGCCCGTCAGGACAGAAGGCACGCAACAGGTCGATGAATGCAACCGAAGACGGGAGCACACGGTACTGGAAGGAGGAGGAAGAGGACCAGGAGGAGCAGGAGGAGGAAGAGGAGGAGCAGGAGGAGGAGGAGAGGGATGAGGAGGAGGAGGAGTATGTGAGGATACGAGGGGGTGGAGGAGCACGGATCCTTACAGAGCACAGTTTCGTCTGGAACTGATGCTGCCGCGCGCTCGGCATGTGCTGGCACTCGACCGAGGCCGAGCCTGTGGAAAACCGTCAGCCGCTCGCAGCTTCAGAATGTTCAACAAGACCTTCGATGAGGGCGACCACAAGCCACGTCATGAGGAGGAGGAGGAGCAGGAGGAGGAGGAGGAGGAGGAAGAGAAGGAGGAGGAAGAAGGAAGAGGAGGATAACAAGAAATGGATGGATTAGGAACGCTGACACACCGTGCGTGTCGACCCTTGCGAGCGTGTTGACCGCTTCGGCCCTCGGCGAAGGCAGCCACAGTTTCAAGCGATGACACTCAACGAGGGCATCCAGCCACCGAGACCGCAGTTTCAAGCGATGACCCCTGGAGAGGGCATCCAAAGAGGAGGAGGATAAGCGGGCGACATGGAGATAGTTGAGGAACTTCGAGAGCATCTTTAGATTTGCCCTGCACCGACCTCCAGGCGGAATGGTTCAAATATGATGCGGTGGGTGTGCAACCGCCCACCGCGTAGTTACCGCGCACGGTACTCGAGGGCATCTTTAGGCCTGTTTTCGAATTCCGAATATGCATGGGGGAGCAGAGGGGTATGGATGAAGGGGGGGGGCATCCTTGCCACATCCGTGCGCTGCAGCATACTCTTGAATCTTTGCACATCCCAGCAGTCATGCACATCTTGGTTCTCGCAGGAGGAGAGGGAGGAGGGGGAGGACGAGAAGGAGGAGGAGGACGAGGAGGAGGAGATGGAGAAAGAAGGGGCCCACAACGGGGAAAATGAGTAATCCTAGGAGGTGGAGGGTAGGAAGAAGGGTACGGGCATGGGGAGGGAGGAGGGACGAATGCTGCCAGGGCGAATGAAGAAATGAGGGATGGACACATGGTGGGAGACGAGACGAAGAGAGGGCATTCACGTGTAAAGGGGGCGAGTTGGAGGAGCAATGAGGAAGAAACTCGATGGATGAGAGTGAAACGATATAGGAGCGGGATGATGAAGGGGGGATGGGGATGAGGATCTAGAGGGGGCTGATGATGCGGAGGAGAAGGAGGAGGAGGAGGATCTGGACGAGGATGGGGAGAACGACAAACAAGAAGGACTATCTCGGAGGAGGAAGGCGGAGGGTATCGAATGATGGAAAAGGGGAGACGCGGACGAGGGAGGAATCTGATTGGAAAGAGGATACTCGATGCATAACTTCGAAACTGGCATTACCTCTCCAGCCAGTAAACGGGAGGACCAGACAGAAATGGCAAGAGATATCGAAACACGGTGTGGGTAAATCCAGGCATCTCGCGCATGGGCGATCCCAGTGGATGCTGGCCTCCCTGGCTTCTGAACCCGGTGAGTCCACGGCAAACTCTTACTGGTGAGCCAATAGCTGATTTCTACTGATGACACACGCGCAAGTGCGACAGCTCGATGGGCTCCAAGTGCAACGGAGGCACGACCACAAGACACCTTCCACAAGAAACCTAACCCTGAGACCCGGGACATCCCCTGGTTTTTGGTGTGGGAGCGTCGCGCTGTCCACAGCAAAACCATCGACACCCAACAAACCAGGGGCACCCTGGAGGCAAGCAGGGTGTTTCTTGGCATGGGCCTCCACTGAAGCTTGGCACTGAGGGTGGTAGACCAGGGGAAGCAACGGCCCTCGGGCTGCACATTGCCCTGCAAGAGCGGGGTCCCGAGCGAGACGGGTCTCAGACCCCAGGGGTCTCCCCAGGATCGACGCTTCGACCGTCCCGTGGCCCAAGACCCAAGGAGGCCAAGGACAGCGAACATCTCCCCCTTTTCATTCTCTCACGACTCCATTTCTTGTCCGTGGCCTTCAAGACAACGAGACTCGGTCCGCGTGGGGACGGCGGACGGAAATGCCGGCCCAGCACGCGCGCAATGGGACGTCCGACGGAGTGTGCATCAACCGTGCACCCCCTGGGCTTGACACGCCCTGTGCAAGCATGGAGGGGGGGGATTCCTCGAACCCGCTAGATCGCCCTGGGGTGCGGTGGATGCATTGGATAAGGAAACATGGCATAAGGAATCCAGGGTCTAGAAGCTGGTGGAAACCCACTCGTGGATTGGCCATGGATATCACCGCCGCCCTCATCAGACAAGAAGTCCTACAAGTTCCAGAGCCTGCTGGGCAGCTTCCTTACCAAACGTCACCGCAGTGTTAAATCCTCCTGACAGCCCCGAGCCCTTCTCCTCCACCCTCGCCTCCTCCATCCGTCGCTGCTCCTGGATGGGAGGATGACGAACTTCAGCAAGGCTGAAGGCGGCGAAGCGCTCCCCAACTCCCGCCCTTCTCCTTCTCCACCCTCCTGCCTCCCTTCCCGCCCTCACCCTTCATCCTTGTGAGAGCACTGCTCTCCCCTCGCCCGTGCTGCTGCGCAGAGCTGGCGCCGCCTCTCCCGCGCTGCTCCCGCACAGGATCTCACATGCGCCGATGTTGCATTTGTGTGTTTCTGGTCGGAGCGGTCTCGGCCCCCCAAAACGGCGCTTCCGCCGCAACACTTTTTTCCTCGGCAAACAATGTTTGGTGCACCATTTTAAAATCGAAGTCTCCGCCACCCCGCGCGGGGCCATGAGTGGTGGCGACAGCACCATAGATAGAATCAACGATCGTCATACAGGAGCCGTCTGGCCCGCGACTTTTCCGCGCCCCTCTTGACCCAACGTGAAAGCAATGTCCGTGTCGACACTCCCGTACCAGGTCACCTTGAGCCGCATCTCAAAATCGGGGCGCTTGGCAAGCGTCCTTCGGAGTGGCGCGGGCGCTCCCGCGCGAGCAGCGCTGCTGGATTCGGCTCCCTCCTCGGCGTTGCCGCCCGCCTCCGTTACGGTCCTCCGTCGGGTCCCCCTGGTCCTCCTGCTGCTGCTGCTGCTGCAGCTGCTGCTCCTCCTCCTCCTCCTCCTCCTCCTCCTCCTCCTCCTCCTCCTTCCTCATCGTCCTCTTCTCTCTCTCTCTCTCTCTCTCTCCAGCTCGACCTCCTGCTCATCCACCACCTCCTCCTCCAAGGTAATGTACAAAGCCCCACCTTTCTGCTTGCGCATCACACGATGGGGGTCATTGATACACAACTATTCAGCGCTGTGGAACGGGATGGGTGGTGGGGGTGGGAGGTTAGATATGGCGCGAGCCGCACCTGGCTTGACCTCCGCTCTCTCTCTCTCTCTCTCTCTCCTATCTCTCCCTCCCTCCTCCTCGTCATGGAGGAGGAGGAGGAGGAGCAGGAGGAGGTGGAGCAGGAGGAGGAGGAAGAGGAGGGAGAGACATAATCTGAGGATGGATACACCCGTGCCCCTGGCTCTCCCCGGGCTCCCGTACTGTTGCACCGGCAGCCAGGGCAACCTCACGAGGGGGTCGACCTGAGCGCAACCGGGGGCGCAAGTGGGCAAGGAGCAGGGAAAAGAGAAGGGAGTGGGAAGGAAGAGGCGCACCTATCCCCCGCGAGTCGGCATACGATGTGACGCTTTCTGTTGGTGGCGACAGCGAGAGCGTCCTCCTTCTTGAATGTCTCATCCGCCATCGTGCCCCCTGACACGCTGAGGCGTGGTAGTATGCCAAGAGCTGTCTGGTGAGGTTTCTGCTTTCTTCTAAGAGCATCCCCCTCTACGCGCGCTTACCTGCTTGCACCCCCCCCTCCAAAGACTTCCTGGGCTGCACGGAGCTTCCCCGGAGAAGGGGACAAGGGGGTGGTCCCCCTGTCGGCCAAGGAGCTCAGTCAGGGCCTCTCCCCTTGAGCAGGGGCTGACCGTCCCGGCAATCGTATAGGCCTACCATGAAATGTTCTTAGAACCCCAGAATGTTCTAAGAACAACAGCAATGGTCTTAGAACATCAGCCCAACGGGTTATCACAAGACAGTCTCAGCCAAGAATGATCTAAGACCAATCCGTGCAGACCGCAAAAGGATATTAGAAGATTTCTTGGTGGGCCTATCGGAAGGCCAAGACGCTTCGCCACTGCTCGATCCCACACCTCGGCCCCAGCCCCAGCCTGGGTCGCGGCCCCCGGCCCCGGCCCCGGCCGCAGCCCCGGCTCTAGCCCCAGCCCCGGCCCCATCCCTCGTCCGCCAGCCCCGCTGGCCCCAGCCCTGGCCCCGCCCCGGCTCCAGCCCTGGCCCTCTTTCTCCTCCTCCTCCTCCTCCTCCTCCTCCTCCTTCTCCTCCTCCTCCTCCTCCTTTTCCAACCCTCCTCCTCCTCCTCCTCCGCCTCCTCCTCCTCCGCCTACGCCTCCGCCTCGGCCTCCTCTACTCCTCCTCCTCCTCCTCCTCCTCCTCCTCCTCCTCCTCCTCGTCCCACCGCCCTTCCCATGCCCCGAGTTCGGGGCAGGGTCATCAACTTGTCGTCGTCGTTGTCGTCATGGTCGTCGTCGTGGTCGTTGTCGTCGTCCTGCTAGGTCGGCGGCACCGGCCGTAAGTTCTTCGCAATCAACAACTGCTTGGGGGGTTAGGTCAAGCAGATTGAGCAAGTTTGGGCAGGATGAGCCTGGAGGAAGGGAGGGCGTGTACCTGAACTGTCTAGTCATGTTAATTTCACCTTTCAGCATGTACTAGATCTACGCTTATACGTGTTGCTACATACACAGGCTTCATGACTTTGGCACGTGCTTATTGTTGGTCCATATGGTGGATATGCATGGATGATCTATCATGGAAGGTTTCTGGTTGCTCCCTGCGGCAAGGGAAACGCATTTCTTTCTATTATATGGATGTCTGGTTGCTTCCACATGTGCAGCTTACCCTGTGTGACTTTTGTCAGGGATATGTTGTCCTCCTACTGCCAACTTGTTTTTCCTTACTACTGTGATGGCCTGTTATTGCTTGCTGCTGCACGTGTCAGCACAGCTTCTCTATGCAAAAAATACGCCTCCGAACGGGAGAAACGGAACCAAACACAACTTGCAGCCCGCATCGTTCCCCGGGACGATCAAACTTGCGGTCATCTGCTTCGCCAACTGCTGAGAGCGGAGGGTAGGCAATTGAACCGTCCCGCTCAGATCGGGGATCTTCTGACCCGGGTCAATCCAGACCCGGGTCGGTCAGGCCTTGTAGAATCTTGCAAGATCCTGTAAGATCCTGCACCCAAACCGGGGTCACTGCGAAAGATCCTGCAAGATCCTGCAGGGCCCTGCACCCTAACCTGGGTCAATGCGACCCTGGCCCTGCAGGATCCTGCAAGAGCGGGCGCTCTGGCTGACCCCCGTTTGCATCGACCCCCGCCTCAAGGCTCCCGATCAGACCTGTTCGCCCAGAATGCCGGGCCGCCAACGCCTGATCACGTTACAAGCTGTCCGGCTGAACAGGATGCGCAAGGCAGCGCTCCGTACCTCCACGGGAACGAGCGTAGCCCCGAGGATGTCGGGCATGAGCGTGTCGCGACAGGTGTGCCCATGCTCGCCTCCATGGGAGCCGAACGAACATGTTTGCGGTGTTGTCCTTGCTGCCCTTGCTGCGCCGCTCGAGGCACGACTCGTTTTTTTAGGACCGTAGCGTGGTAGGTCCGCATCGGGATGACAAGCTCATGTGCGCCAGCTATGGTGCCACTGCGGTCGGCCACAGGGAGCCTCGCGCGAGGAACCATGCACTTGCCCAAACCATTCCTGGATAGCTCCTTGTAAGAGCGCAAAAGTTTGTTAGAGAAGAAGCCGGTAGGCAAGGCTAAGCCAATCTCCCTCGAAGGATCCCGGGCAGGCAGCAGGCATCCCCGCAGCCGCATGCTCGAAACTGCAGCGTGTCCCGAGAAACCTTTTCCTTTCAAGAACTTGCAAGCTCTCCAAGCATCCTTTCCCGCGTCCTGGGAGGAGCAGGAAGAGGAGGAGGAGGACGAGGAGGGGGAGGAGGAGGAGGAGGAGGAGGAGGAGGAGGAGGAGGAGGAGGAGGAGAAGGAGGAGGAGGAGGAGGAGGAGAAGGAGGAGGAGGAGGAGTTGCAGGGCTCTCCTACACGCGTTTCACGCGCTCAGCGGGCCTCGCTCCGGCGCGCGTGACCTGGCCCGGGAGCGAGGATCTCAGGACGGAGGCGGCCCAGAGGGGGGCGTCCAAGAGGGGGGGTCGCAAATCAATGCCAGGGGCATGTGCGCGGCCAGGGGGTTGGGGTCCAGGGAACGCCTTGAAATGAGAATGGGCGCCATGAAATCTGGGGAGATATTATGGCCCCCGCCATGACATCCACCCCCCATCTATCGCCCCGCCCTTGGTCGCTCCCGATCAGGCGGGACCTGGCGACCCGTGGGGGTTGGACCCCTCGGGCGCTCGGCCCTGGGGTACGCACCTCAGGCTTCGGCAGGGCAGGAAACAAGAGAGGGCAGGCGCGGCCCAGGAATGTAGACCTGGGGCGAGCGGCCCCGGGATCAGGACCCCGGGGCGGAAGGGAAACGAGGGAACGAACGAAGAGAGCAGAGGAAGAACATAACAGAAAGCGAGAGGCGGGAAAGAAAGCAGGCGAGAGAAGGAGAGGAAGAGAGACGAGTGCAGAGGGAGAGAGGTGCGCGCGACAACGACGAACGACGACGACAGCCGCCCGCGCGCGCCCGGCTCGAAACAGCGCCAGCGTCCCCCCCCCCCCCTCTGCGCCGTGCGCGGGACCGGCCAGGGGGTAGGTCCGCATCGGGATGACAAGCTCATATGCGCCAGCTATGGTACCACTGCGGTCGGCCACACGGAGCCTCGCGCGAGGAGTCATGCATTTGCCCCAACCATGCGTGGATGGACGAGGCGAGCTTTCCCGCCGCTTCCCTCCCCCCCATGGTCACGTCACGATGAGCGCCGGCGCCGTCTGGGAGTTAGCCATTCTGAAACGTTTCCCAACATCGACGCAGTCTGTCGGGGCGCCTTTGGGGACGTGTACGCGCAACACTGCAGCCTGGCGCCCGCTCTCTCGCTACATGAAGAGCGCCACTGGCGCATACGCGAATGTCGTAGTCGAACGCACAAAAATGGTCCACGCGACCTGCGCCGCAAGCGGGCGGCACCGCGAGACACCCAGGGCGCAGAGGGCAGCGCAGACTTGCTCGGCCTGCTCAGCGCGCTGCAGAGCAGGGCCCTCCGTTCGAGGGCGCGCAAACATGGATTAGCGATCCATGGATTTGGCGCGCGGTCGCCAAATCCATGGATCGGAGGAGTAGCCCTCCGCAAAGTGCGGCCGGTGCCGCCTCGCTCGGCGGTAGAAATCCGCGATTTCCCATTGAAACGGGACCCGTCGCTAATCCACGCCCCCTTGATCCATGTTTGCGATCGACTGATCCATGGCCACCTCCCCAGCCCGTGCCATCGCGCGCGAGCCGCCAGGCGCGGTGCCAAACAAGAGGAACCCAGTGCGCTCGCGCCGCACACGTGCCAGGAGCCCGCGGGCCGCCAGGCCAAGCGCAGAGCCTGGTGGCATCCATCCCTGGGGATGGTACGGCACGCTTCCTGCTGCGAGGCCAGTACCTGCGGCGGGCCAGGCCAGGCGGCCACATGCGAGCCCTACCCCTACCCCCCACGATTTCTGAGGGGGAGGGGATGGCGAGCGAAGTGAACCCCGGCTTCCCCCCTAGGAATCGTGGGGGGTAGAAGTCGGGTTCGCATGTGGCCCCCTACAGGCGGCCTTCGAGAGAAGGGAGCTCGGAGCCGACGTCCGCCGCACACCCGGGGAGAAACCAATCGTCAGCAACCCTGGCGATGCTCATCCTGGGTTTGAGCACGACTGGGTCAACCGCCTGCGCGCCCCGCATGGCGTCGGCGATGCCGAGGTCGAACAGCATCTGCGGGAGGCGGGAGCCCCGCAGACCTCCCACATTTTTTGGGGAGACGTAAGACTCGGGTACGGGGGACTCGGGTTCGCCTGTCGGGGCCATCATAAAAACGGCGAGGCCCCATCTGAAATTTGACGCGGGCTCCCGCCGCAGACATCCCACGAAAACCGGGCCGTCAAAATCCAGGACGCGCTCGTCAAAAACGTCGGCAAACCCGAAATCCAGCTTACTCGAATCTTACGTTTCCCCGAATTTTGCTCCGCAGCCGCTCACTTCCGGTACCCTGCCACACCACTGAGCAGCCAGCTGCCCAGCGGCCACCTCGGGCGCGCGGCGCCTCGCCGCTGCAGGCAGGCAGGGAGCCTGCGCAGCGCACGGCCGTGTGCGCCCTCCAATATCTGCGTCGAGGCTGCTCTGATCCCTCAGGCGCAGGTCGTCTGCAAGCGGTGCCTCCGCGCTGGCCTCGTCCGCCATCTCGCGCGCCCAACACCACATCGCGCGAGCCAGCACCGGGATGTCGTGAGAGGCGTGTTGCCCCAGCTTCATGAAACGCTCGCCCAGGCCGATGGGCCAGAACTTCCGCCTGGCCTGTCCCCGGGTTCCGCTGGCGGCCGCGCGCCATGGTGATGAAGATG